CCATCGTCACGACAAAGCCGTACGAAATCGTGGGTGTGGATATTTTAGAACTAGGCTTGACGACTAGCGGTAATAGGTATGCCGTAACGGTCATTGACCACTTTTCGAAGTTCGCTGCGGCTTACCCGGTAGTGGATAAATCGGCGGAAACCGTAGCAAAGGTACTGTTTTGTAAGATGGATAGCAGAGGGCTGCCGGTGGCCAAAGAAAATTTTGTCGGACAGAGGTGGAGAGTTTGAGAATAAGGTGATGGCGGAACTTACCAAGATAACAAAAATTGAACATATCACCACAAAGGGGTACAACCCCAGGGAAAACGGGCTCACGGAAAGATTAAACGGCACTATAGTAGCTATGCTGCGGAGGAGTACTCCGACCCCCATGGAGTGGGATGTGAGACTCCCTTTCTGCCTAATGGCGTATAACATGACGCCACATCGGTCAACTGGAGAAAGCCCATATTTTCTCTTACATGGGATGGACCCAAACTTCCCATCGGCGATAATACCTAATGGCGGCGTAAGTTGGTATGCAATGGATAAGAATGTGGAAGACTACAAAGCACAGTTGCTCCAAGCAGTTGCTGAGTCCCATGAGCGGATTCAAGAGTATAACGAGCGTGTGAGAAATCAGATGAAGCTGGAGTATGATAAGAGGCAGAGGGTTAATGTGGAGAAGCACCCAAAAGTAGGAGATCGGGTGTACCTGCTAGCCCCCAATGAAAAGGCATCGAATTCACACCCAAAATTGACTTCGGAATGGACAGGACCTTTTCGAGTACTGGAAACTAGTCAGAACTCGGCGCTTATCAGTAGAATAGGCGACAACGTAGACCCTGTCAGAGTACAGTTTGACATGCTGAGAGTAGTACCGAATTGTATATCTGATGAACCTATCGATACAAGAACAAGGAGAGGGAAACGGGGCAGGAAGCCGAAAACTGTTGTTTGTTGCACTAAAGTTCCGTGTTTCAGTGGTGCGACGCTGCTGAGCCCGCTGGAAAAAGGGCACCTACTGTTTCTATGTGGAAATGGCTGTTTTGATGGAGCGACTTTGAAGGATGTGGGAAACACGAATTTCCCAGGCGCTGTAGCAAAAGAACCGATCACGACATTGTGGGAAGCCTGGCTAGCCGCCAGCATCTTCAGAAGAAACGATATTCACGTTGGAGAGAAGATAAGAATGCACCGAGATGGAACCGTATGTTTCGAGGCGGAGGCGCTAAAAGATGTCCTGAAAATGGCATTTGATAGATGCATCGACTGGACAGACTTTATAATGAACACGGAAAAAATTGATAAGCACACGGCGATAAAAGGATACTACTTCGATGCGTCATACAATGAAGCACTGAAAGCTGTACGCCAAGAGTTGAAGGACGATGCGGTACGGTCGAGGCCCCAAAAGGAAGGACTCGTTGGATTTATCGCTGGTGAAGGTGCTCTGGCGCTCGAAAAGGATGGCCAGAGAGGAGAAGTCGTAATTAAGGTAGCCACAACGTTTGACCGTGTATTGGATATCCTCGAAGATTGGTCGGCATTCCGTGCTTGGGTCGTAATGTGGCCCATCGATTCCAAAATGGACGAAGTTAGGCTAAAAAGGCTGTTAAAGATGGTAAAAGCACAAGTAAACAGCGGTGGAAAAATCGTAAGCGTGTGGCCTCCCGTCAACGAAAAGAATATGGCGATGTGGCTCCAAATTCAAGAGCTGTGGAGTGCTTTGGATAGCACGTTGATGAGGATCAACGACGACAATCAAATATTTGTGACATCGAGTTCAAAAGTCATTGAAGGAAAGCTATATATTGAGGCAGGTTCGCCTGAAGGCAGTGGCCAATTTTTTAGTAATCACGTAGGAGCTGGTGTACCTAAGTATGTGTTTGAGGCGGCCAGGAGAAAAGCCGCAGGAGCATTGTTGCCAGAATTGCCGGATTCAAGATTCATGACATCAAGGGCGATGTGTGCCCCGAGGGAGGGCGTGTTGGTCAAGGGTGGCCTAGCAGTCAAGCGCCGGGCCCACTGGCCTGTCGAAGCCCGATTATTGGCAGAGACAGGGGGAGGATGAAGTTATTGATGTTAGAGAAGTTCACAAGGAAGCAAGGATCTATCCGGGAAAGCGGCGCCCTCCTACCGCATCGTCGTGGTTTAGTTTTTTTCTTCTTGTTTCCTCGTTTGTTTGAAATAAAATTTTTGTTTGATTTCGCGCCTTCACTCACATAAGCTTGTCAGGAACTGTGGGGGACCCATATTAAGACCCTACAGTATGTATGACCTTACCTCATTTTCTTTTCCCCGAACACCAAGATTTCGTAGAAAGCTTTAATGATAACTTCACGATCACAAGTGACTGGAATGTTGCATAAGAAAGTGGGCTTAAATTGCATAAATACATAAAGATGAAGAGATGGCATAAAGTCAATTTGGTTGGCTTTCACCAAAAAAATTTACTATCACTCACCAGGTGCCTTTCCAGTGCAACGTGAGGAAACGAATTTGGAAGCAATTAGTCGTGCAGCAGTGGAATTGGCAATACGAGGTGCACATAAACTTTCACGAGCTGGAAATGAGCTTGCGAATCTCAAGGGTAAAGCGAAGGTTAGTGTTATGTTAGTTTAGAGCTCACGGCTAGAATTAGTGTTAGTGTTATCTTTCAGGTTCATTGAAGGTAAGGTATACAGGGTGGCTACTAAATATTGGCGCATGGTTTATTGACCATATTTTAAAAAGAGAAGCTATTACATCTTCAGAAGTTTATTTTTATATACAATAAAACATACAATGCATTACTGAAGAAAGGTGCTCGAAATGGCCTCCTTCGGCAGCGATACAGGCTTCAAGTCTCTTCTCAACTGACATCACCGTGGGCCGCAAGTAAGTGACGTCAACGTGACGCGAGAAGATCTTCACACTGGAAGTGGCGCACAATTCTCAAAACGACAGGCAATTGTTGGATCCGGCTAGCAGACATTCTGCTCGACTTGTGTGCACACAAGGAGCCGATTTCCAAAATCTGTCATGGTTTGGGCAGGAATTACTTCCGAAACCAAGACACCGCTTGTCTTTGTGGACAAATCCGTCAAAATTAACGCCCAGATCTACCAGGAAACAATTTTACGTGATGTGCTCCTTCCATGGACTGTTTCGACCTTCAGCAAATGTCAGTGCCTTCTTCAGCAAGACTAGGCGCCTCCCATGCCGCAAAATCTACGCTGGAGTTCTGTGACCGTCATTTTCCAGGTTACTGGTCACAAAATGTTTGGCCATCTAACTCGCCCGATTTGAACCCAATGGATTTTGCGGTGTGGGGCTTCTTGCAGCAGAAGATGCCTTCTGAGCAACATCGAAGTTTGGACTTCCTGAAGGCTTCCTTGGAGGAAGGCGTGGAAGGAACTCGACGTCAGCTGCTTGCGGCCCACGGTGATGTCAGTTGAGAAGAGACTTGAAGCCTGTATCGCCTGCCGAAGGAGGCCATTTCGAGCATCTTCTCTAGTAATGAATTGTTATGTTCTACTGTATATAAAAATAAACTTCTGAAGATGTAATAGCTTCTCTTTTTGGAAATATGGTCAATAAACCATGCGCCAATATTTAGTAGCCACCCTGTATAGGCTGTCAAAATAGTGAGCAGCGTGATTTATATATTATGTTTTGTGGCGGTGACATTTGTTTTCGTTACGGCCACTGTTTTGACGAAATGGGCGCTGCTTTTCCTTCTCAAAGTTTACTTGTTATTCCCCTAATTATATTCGTTAAGACGAAACATATTTGGTTCTATAGGTTGCAAGAAACCTGCGTTAAATTGCGATTGTGCGGCAAGCAAAGAGCTGCATTGAGAGTTCATAGATCTTTTCGAGGCCCACACTTTCGTTAAGAGCCGTGCATATAAATGGAAAGCAGTAAAAGGAGGAAGACCATGTTTCAACTAAACTATTACGAGGATGAAAAGGGGGGCTCAATCAGCCACTAGATGGGTGCAAAAGGATTATTCACACAAGCATTGAGCAAAAACATCACCGAAAGCATGAAGCGATATAATGAGGGCACACAGCCTGCGAAACTGTCGTGACAATCTCTATCGTCTACATTGAAGCACCAAACCGAGGTGTGTCGGCTTATTGTGTGCATGTAAGTTTGCCTGTCTGCCCGTCCGCAAAATGAAGTGAGTGATAAGGCAGCTAATGGAATAAACAGGCCGCTAACAAACCTGGCTAGCTCGCAGGGCTTGCTCTATTAATGTTTTGCAATGGCATGATTGTAATAACACCCCAATCGTTATAAAAACCTACGTAGCACACACTTTCGCGTCATTCCACCAAGATGCGTAGTGGCAGGCCGCCAGAGCAATGGAAGGGAGGAAAAGGAGGCGAGCCGCCGAAGCTTACGGGAGGTGCAGGACACGTGATCCGGCAGCTCGCCGTTGACCACATGCTAGTCTCTTCATATTATAGGCAAACAATTGAGCAAATGAATTGGATCAAGCAGACAATTCTCAAGATACAAGGTAAAATATAATATAAGAATTACGGAATTTTTGGGAGCTGCGCCGATCCTAGGACAGAAAGTTGCGCCGATCGTTGGACAGAAATTGAACTGCTTTTGCAGAAAAAAAAAAAACAGCTGACTGAAGCTGATGAAGAGTCACGGAGTGGTATCCCGTTGTTATACCAGCCTCTCACGAGCACTCGTTATTGGAAAACACCGCTCAAAGAATTCTATCGATTTTAAAAAGTGAAAAAGTAGAAGTGCGGGAGACCCCTCCACAGGTTTTATCAAACAAAGTTAAATGTCTACAGTAAAGGCCTCCGGCGCCCATGGACAAATACAACGATCCAGTTTTCCGAGACAATTATCGGTTTTTTTTTCGCGATGGGTTTGTGGCTTGGTTACAGGATAGACTTATTAGATTTTTTTTTGGTTCGTTGTTGTGGGACTGTGAAAATGTTATGCAAAAAGTTTGGTAATCAAAAGAATTCCAAAGTTTGCATTGAAGCATGCCTTAAAGAAATCTTTCGCGGAGAATTCTGGCATTCGTTCTCCAGCCATGATATGTGGTCAAGATTGGAACACACATGGGAAACGACCGCAATAAGTTTCAGCGCGTGATGAGAATGATTGTCTTGTGTTTTCGACCAAAGACTGAACACACGGTACAAAAACGATCCATTCTATGGACAAGGCATTTGGGTCGTAACGGCTGATGAAAAACGGAAAGCGTAGCGTTTAGAACGAGTCGAAATCACATCGATAAAATAGGATAGCAGGGTAGAGGTGTGAGATTTGAATGCAGGGTGCGATGGTGAGTTCAAAACCAGCAAACGCAAGAGTTTTCTAGTGCAGTCTACTCATCCAATTAAAAGAGAACGGAGTGGAACCGTCTGTCGGCAGATTGAACTGTGACACGCCAAGGCGAATGATCTCGAACCGCAGCTCTTTCCTCCTCTCTCTCTTCGAGGATTTTTTTAACCAGAACAGACGCCTTTTCCTGTTTCTGTTCATCCGTGTTCTGTGATTTGGAGGAAGCTTCAGGCAAAGTTGGCATTAATATGGTGCTGAAAATAGAATTTATCATAAGTATTTTCTCTCGTGAAGGACTCTCTCTCTAATTGCACCTCATTAGCGCGCGAGTGCGAGGCGTTGGGATGGGGAAAAAACTTGAGGCCCATTGCGCTAGAGAGTGCAATAGCCCCCGCACACTCACGAAGCTTCCTGGGTTACAATTATAAAAATTTATGGGCTTGACGTTTATAGAGATAACAAGATTGGTCCCCCGGCAACCGCCGGAACCTCCCTTCCCTGCGAAGCTTGGCGATCCTCCTCCTCACCTTATCCTCCCCTCCTCCCTCCACTGCTCTCCAGCTGCCACAGCAGCTTGTGAAATGACTGAAAGTGTACTAAGTAGGTGTTTATATAGCCGTTGGGGTATTATCACAATCACGTTGCAATAATACCTCAACACCGGATCGAAGCGTAATCTTGGAAGCGTTTCCCACGAAGCCTAGCAATTCGAGCTCCCTGGTTCTGCTAGAGGTTGGTACGGACGGACAAAACGTTATACACACAGACAAATCAACACATTGAAGTTCTGGTTTATATAATGAACCAAATCGTTCCCCCGGCAACCTCCGAATCCTCCCTTCCCTGCGAAGCTTGGAGTTCTCCTCACCTTATCCTCCCTCTCCAGCTCCCTCTGCAGTACCTCGTGGAATGACTGGAAGTGTGCTACGTAGGCGTTTACATAGCCGCCAGGTATTATCACGCTCGTGTCCCTGCGAGCTACCCAGATTTGTTAGCGGTTTGTTTATTCCATTAGCTCCTTATCACTCACTTCATTTTGCGGACGGACGGACAGACAAACTTACATACACACAAACAAACCGACACACCAAGTTAGCGGTTTATAAATAGAAGGCTGAATGGTTTATTTTCCCTAATTGTGGAAGAACTTTTGCTCAGCCTCATCCAGATGACTCCAATAGGTAATTATGAAAAATGAAATACTTAAATAGTTCCCCAAAAAATTGAAATCTTAGCCGCGGAGCCAGTGTGCCTATGGGCTGACCATCTTTTCAGATCAGCCAGAACGGTTGCGACGAAATAAGCCATATTTCGAGCCTTCTAGAAATTTTCGTGGCAATAAATAAAAAGGAATTCCGGAACGACCGAATAGAATCCTTCGCATCTTTGAAAAAGAAATAACTTATTTTAGACCAGTTTAGCTCCGCACACTACCGCGTGCATGACACGGAAGGGCTCCGTAAAGCTGGCCAGCCGGCGGAGCGTTAGGTTCCGCCGCTAAACAATAACTTGCTTCGTGAAATGCGTTAGCTGGCCTTCTACAGAATGCCCATTTTTAACCAACCGTCTGATACGCGCGGTGGAGTGCGGAGCTAAAGTGGTGTCTGTAAACAGCCACCATGCATTGGATGTCAGGATGATTTAGCGGTCGAATAATATTGATGCCAATGATTTTGCAATAGAAATACCCATTATCGTATATCGCTAAACAT